CTTAAATCTTAAACCCTAAACCATAACCCCCCATGGTTCCATCAGGGTGCCTCTTGCTTTCACTCCCAGTGTCAGAGCTCAATATCATGGGTTCCCCTCCCACCCCCGTCTATACTACCCCCCTAGGTTCCCTCCTTAATTAAGGTTATTTAGGGATAATTAGGCTTAATTAAGGGGGAACCTTGGGGGGGTAGTTTAGAGGGGGGTAGTAGGGGAACCCATGACAATAGCTCGGAAAGTGCAACCTGTGATGTAGGATTTACGGTTTCATGTAGACCCTTAGGGTTTCCCAATTAGGGGTACCTTTTAATAGAATATAGGGTTTAATGTAGACCCATGAGTAATAGACCTCCTCCTTTTCAGGGACTGAATATCAAGGATGCCTACTATAATCCCCACGAAGGGGCGGGGGTTTATGAATCAGGGGTCTGGGTTAGGGTTCCGAGTTTGTGTCAGCATAGAAAGATGTGCAACAGCCGAATTGTGGGATTTCCAGAAATTGAGGACCCCGGTCGAGACCCCAAAATATCATATTTCTTATCAATGGGATCCCCAAAAGGAGCCCTTTTTTTAAGAGAGACTGAACCCTGTAAATCCCTATCTGCGCCTATATAACCCATATGTATGTATGTATATATATATATACATACAACAGAGAACCCCTTTGAGCTCCTAATGTCTGGAATTCCCCCAAATGTGTGTCTAGACCCTAAACCTCCGAACCCTAAACCCCTGAACCCTTAAACCCTAAACCTCCGAACCCTAAACCCCTGAACCCAAAACCCCTAAACCTTAAACCCCTACACCCTAAAGCCCTAAACCTCTAAACCTCTAAACCCTAAAGCCCTAAACCCGAAACCTCCCCACATGCGTGTAAGCGTCCGTGACGTGCCGATGCCATGGCCATTGATCTGTTAGCCATGCAGGCCTGCGTTCTTGCCTCGGGTTTTAAGGGGGATGGAAATTTTAGAGGGGAATGTAGGAATTTAGGGCTTTGGGTTTAGGATTTTAGGGACTTAGGGTTTTAGGGTCTGTGGTTTAGGGTTTGGGGATTTTTTGTCCGTAAATTATTTGTGGTATGGGTTCTTGTAGTGGGGTTCCTATTACAATATGGGCCCCATAGAGTTGTATGTAAAGGGGATGTACAGGGTTATACAGGCGATATATGGGCGAAAGAAGGGAGATATAGTGGTTTAAAGGGGATATATACCCTTGCCCAAGTGCATATGGAACGTGCAAAAACAGCCCTATATAGACTAAGGGCCTTCTACAGCTGGGCTACATGGGGTTTCATGTTAGTTGGGGGGAAGGTGGGGGATGCATGCGGTTATGTATGGGTATGGTATGAAGGGATGTTTATTACGGCTTTCAAAGAGTTGCATCCTCTGCTTTGGGATTCTCCATAAGCAGGAGTATATTGGGGTCTGCAACTGTACTGGGGCTCACTACTCATGAAAACCCCCAATTGTCCTTATGATCGGCCTTACTTACTTCGATGTCGGGTAACGGCAAGGCATGATGTAATATCGCATTCTGCTGTGGGCGAGCCTTAAGCATTTGTCATACCTACGAGGTGGCCATTAAGGTCGGCTGCTTTCTGATTGCAGTGAAGCAAGCTGGTAGTGTTGGGAATAGCTCTTTGCTCAGGGTTTTGGTTGAAGTGTATTGTTAGGGGTTTAGGGTTTAGGGTTCAGGGTGTAGATCCTAAATCTTAAGCCCTACACCCTGAGTGCAGCCTAGCCAATAGCAACCAAAGCTTCCTAGCTGTATGCCAGCAAAAAAGGTGCGAAGGGATTTAAAAAAAGCCTAAACCCTAAACCTTAGACCTTAAACAACCTAAGCCCAAAACCCCGTAACCCTAAACCCTAAATCCTAAACCCTAAACCCTAAACCCTAAACCCTAAACCCTAAATCCTAAACCCTAAACCCTAAAGATCCTAAGCCCAAAATCCCTAAGCAATGACTGCAGGAGAACCTCCATTGGGAAGGCAGGGCTCAGCATTTTGAACACTCATGGGTGCCCCTACTACCCCCTTAGGGTTTAGGGTTTAGGGTTTAGGGTGGGTTTCACCCCCAGTACCCCCAAAACCCTGGACCTTAAACAACCTAAGCCCTAAACCCTATAGACCCTAACCCCCTAAGCATGGAACTGACCTGTGCTACCCGCTCCAAAGTTCGCCCTTGATTATCCGTAAATATCCCTAAATAACCGTACTTGCGGGGGAACCGTTTGGGGGGTTGTATGTGGGGGCAGGAGAGGGACCCATGAAACACATGCTTGGTGAAGGCGTCGAACCAGAGGCTGGGCTCATCATTTGCATGATTTTGCTTGGGTTTAGGGTTCTTTTATTTCCTTAGCGTGAATTATGTTGATTATCATTACAACTATGACAATGACGTTTTTCTTATTGATGACGTATTCGTTCTTATCCATATCGTATGTATAGGGATCTATCAGGTAAATGCCAGCTTGCAGACAGTGCTCATTCACTTGTTTTGTGCCGGTGTCTGTTGCTCAAGAACAGCGCACATGTACTATAGTCTAAACTCCTTAGAGTGGGTTATATAGGGGATTATGCAGGGGAGTATTTAGGGGTGATTAAGGGGTATACTAGGAGTTTAGACTATAGCTCACATGGTGTCAGGTTCACCTAGAAGAGCTGTCGAAGTTCGATGAGTTCGGGCCCTATCGCTTCGTTCTCCTACGGCTTTGGGAAGTTTTAGCAGCTATTCATGGCTGTCTTGCTGCTGTTCACGCAGCCAGCCGGAAAGAAGGTAGCATCATGACTGAGTATTGTGTGAGAGTTAGATTAGATTCATGAGGTGTCAAATGAAAACATTCTCTGTTCCTCGAGCCGAAACCTGACTTCGTTCATTGGGGGGCTTGGGGACATGGGTCGCAGAAGAAGAAAGGCATGCATGCGGAGCAGCAGGGTGGATGTGAAACTTGGGAACTTAAGAACGAGGTCAGGAAAGGGTCAACTCTTCCTCGGCCGCTGAGTTTTCCTATGGGTGTAGGGTTTAGGGAAACCCCCTCTCCCAATAGGGATTACTATACGGGATCCTAATATGAAGGGTACAGTAGGTGCCACGGGGCTAAGCCCTGGCGCGTCCTTTTGGGACGTCGCGCGGCATGCAGAAGAAGAAACTTTTTTGGTACTCCGGTCCTTCTTGGCAGACCTGACTCAACGGACAGCGTGCGGGTTTGGGGCGTAGCCCTGGCAGAGCTTACGGGATTTGCGCAAACCCCAGAAGACGAAGAAGAAGAAGTCAAAAAAGGAGCGAGAGAGAGAGAGAGAGATATGACGTGGTTAAGCCTCGAAGCAATCTGCTGCTTGCTTGTAGCGCATAGAAGCGGATAGATAATCCTGGGGAAATTTTGAAAGAGATTCGTGCAATGGGGCTCGTCAAGGGCCGTGGAGCAAATCACAAAATTGAGTTTCCTAAAACTACGGTACCATGTGGGGCTCGCTTCAAAAAAGAATTATCGTATTTTTGGATCTATTGGGATACCCGCATTTCGGGAAACTACCCTAGACCTGAAACCGACAGCCCTAAACCCTAAACCCTCAGCTCTAAACCGGAGAAATCATAAACTCAAAGTTCAGCCGCAGCCCCCGGCAATTTGTATGTGGCATCCTTCAGGTTTTAGGCCTGCCAAACATGAAAACTGGGAATAATATGGTCCCCACCTAAGTAGATATATGGGATAATGGAAAAGAAAATGGAAACTATTACAGTATTATAGGGTATATATTGTGGGAATCTTAGGGTTGTATTGGGGTTATATTGGGATAATGGAAAAGAAAATGGAAACTACTATAATGGGGTTACATATGTTTTAGGGTTAAGGGTTTAGCGATTAGGGTTTTATGTGCAGTCCCCCTTCAGTAAATAGAATCTGGGGTATATGATAGTAGGGTGTTTTGACTTTGAAGTAGCCGAGTGTGGTCCAGGGACGTGATCGAAGAGCTTGGAGCAGTTGAGTTTCACATCGACATTGCGTTGAGAGGAGGAAGTGGAGCAGGAGGATGGGGAGGTGGTGGAGAAGGAGGAGGATAGGGAATAAGGTTTTCGTTGTTGTGGTACCCTAAACCCTAGACCCTACCCCCTGCCATCCTTCCTGGTACCGACCAGATGATAAGACCTTTGCGGCTTCACGGCCTTCGGGTTGTGCAGAGCCCAAAGAAAAACTGGCTTGCTGTCAAGGAACTTTGTTAAAGTTACTATATTCCCCTATAATGGAGAATCAAATGGAAAAGAAAATGGAACATGAAAGGGAAACTGGGGGAATATAGGGATTTAAGGAACGTAATTTGAGTTACTATATTAGGGTAACCATATTAGCTACTGTATACACCCATTGTGGTAACTTAGCTTAAGTTCCCTAACAGCAACCCCGAAAAAGGAAGAAGAAGAAGAACACCAGGAGGAGACCAGAGATGAACGAAAAGCTCGATGCTTGAGATAGCTTAGGAAGTCCCCCCCCCCCACCCTGCAACAGTGGCATAATGGGAAAATAAGCGGACCCTAATATGATCCTAACTATCCCTGAAAATGACTACTACAGGGTGCAGCGTCCTCCTAAAAGATAACATGCAACTTGTCAGGTTCAACTACTGGATCTCTGAGTATTTCGATACTCCAGCACCATCACAAGTCGTGCTTGCTCGGGCCACGGTCGTGCTTCGAACAGCTTACCTCTGGTTAGCAAGAAATGAACGACTGCCTCCTTCCAGAAAGTCCCTTGCCCTATGTCATCCCCAACAACGTAATACTTTCCAATTTCTTTTGCATTCCTTCATTCCCTGCCAAGCAGAGGTAAGACAATGGGAGACTGCAAGCTGGTTTTTCTTTTCCATAATCCTTATATAACCCCAATATGTACCCAATAATCCCTATGTAACCCCTATATAATCCCCATAATCCCTGTAGTTTCCATTTTCTTTTCCATCATCCCAATATAACCCCAATATTTCATTGTTGAGGACAGCGTGGCTATGTTGATGGGCTGGTTCGCGCCTCAAAGAGGTGAAGGGCATTCTAGTTCACAAGGGGAGTTAGGTAATCCCAATGCTCCAAATGGTAGTCTCCCCAAATTAGGGTACCCCCAAGATAGACCCCAATATATTATAGTCCTTGTTATAGGGACCGCCCAGGGTATCCCTAATTTTGGGAAACCCCCAAATAAGGACCCTGTGACAGTCATGCGATAGTCTAGGGTCCTAATTTTGGGCAGTGAGGTTACTACAATCCCGTTATTCCTTCTTGGCCTGGTCTCAGATGCTGGTAAGATGAGGTCAGGTGACGCAAAGCAGATTGTAACCCAGATCACTGGGCAGCGTCATACGGAGGCTCGAGAACTCATGAGGGTTTGGGGTGGTGGCTTCCATAAATGAGACCCGGATATGAACGGGGGCCCTCCCAACTTTTTTGAGACACACCTTTTGCCAAAGCATAGAGATCTTAAGTCGCCACAAGCTGTTGGACTTTTGAGAACGTTTCAAAAGCATTGGCCAACACCAATAATGGCGTTTCCATGAGTAGGGGGCCCTAAGATAGCAGCCAACAGATTACAAGCCTTATCATGGGGGCTCTCACAAAGAGGCGTCTAATTGTTGGAAAAGCCTTATGTGCAGCAGACCTTGAGACAGGACAGGAAGTTCCCGGAGAAGTTCAGCAAGTTTCGAAAGGATCTGAAGGCTGCGGCAGGGGCCACCTCAGGCGTACTGTGTGGTGTCATGGCCATGAACGGTATGTTCAGGTGGTTGGAATCCAGACAGTTTGTCAGGATGCGCTTACGCATCCTGATATGTAGGGGTGTTGCTGAGCAGGTTGCGCTTTTCTTGCCATGATGTTGATGCCATGCTGCCATCAGGTTCAAACAGAAGACATTGTTGACGAAGCCTAAGCTCTAAACACACCGGGAACTAACAACAGAGGCGGTCGTCGTATCACGACAACGATAGGCTTTGGACTCAACAGCGGCAACTGAAAGCTGTGGCTATATCAGCAGGAACACTAATAGTAATAGCAAGTAAAGCAATAGTAGTAAATGCCATAGTAATAGTACTACTAAGAGTACTAAGAGTACTAAGAGTACTAGTGCTCGTACTAGTGCTAGGACCAGTACTAGTAATAGTCACAGTAGTGGTAATAGCATTAGTAAGCTATTTGTGCATCGATGCCTGGCTATTTCCATGTCGAAAAAGTTCACTCGGTCAACAACCGCGCCTGGGCTCTAATAGAAGGAAGCCTGCCGCACCTGACTTCGGTTTAGGGGTTAAGGGTTTAAGGTTTAGGGTTCATGGTTTAGGGATTAGGGTTTTAGGGTTTAGGGTTCAAGGTTTTAGGGTTTAGGGTAGTTTTCTCAAACAGGGGGACCACAATATAGACTTCAAAAATATTTCATCCTTATCATGGGGACTCCCCAAACCCTAAACCGTAAGCAGAAGAGATGCAGTTGTAGTAAGCTTTGCACTGGATGTTTCCTGACGTAGCTCCCTAGACCCGAAACCCTAAATCCTAAATCCTAAACCCTGAAGCCCTTAAACCCTAAACGCCTAAACCCGAAATCCTAAAATCCCAAGAGTGTAAACCCTAAGGCCCTAAAACCCCAAACCCCAAATCCTAAAACCTTAATATCCTAAACCCGAAAACCCTAAAACCTTAAACCTTAAGTCAAAAGCCCTAAAACCTAAAACCCAAAACCCTTAAACCCTAAAACCTTAGAACCTCAAAACCTTAGATCACCAACCCTAAAACCTAACACCCAAAACCTTCGTTTGCAGATTAGGTCCCGCCGGCTCGATTCAGTGATGATAAGTCGCCAGGCTGAGTTCGGAGAGGGACTGGGGAGAATGGAAACTACTATGCTATACTAGGGTATATGTTGGGGTTATATTGGGATAATGGAAAAGAAAATGAAACTATTTAGGATTTAGGGGTTTAGGGGTTTAGGGGTTTAGTGGCTTAGGGGTTGAGGGTTTGGGGCTTAGGGCTTAGGGTTTAGGGTTTAGGGCTTGGGGTTTGGGGCTTAGGGTTCAGGGCTTAGGGTTTAGGGTTTGGGGTCTTGCATCTTGTGTCTGTGAGTGCACAACCTGTAAACCTCTAAACCCTAACCCTCTAAACGCTAATCCTAACCCCCAGACACTAATCCCTTCACCCCAAAACCCTAAACCCAGAGCTCTGAACCCTAAACCCTAAAATGGTTCACTCTGTGGTCATCTCAGGTCAGAATCGCCAAAGACGTTGGAGAGGTTCGCAAACTTCCCTCATTTAGGGTTCAGGCTTTAGGGTTTAGGATTTCGCGTTTAGGGTATAGCGATACGTATATCATACGGGGTCATACTAGTATGATGGAGAAGAAAATGGAAACTACTACTTAGTGCTTAGGGTTTAGGGTGTAGGCAGATCATCACAATAGTGGAGCATCAAAGGGAAAAGAACATGGGAAAGGACATGGAAACTGGACTTATGCAGTAGGCTCCATACAAAGGGGGCACCTAATACCACCCCAAAACTACAACACTTATTCTACATACCTCCGAAAACGCACCGCTAAAAGGGGCTTATAGGGCTAGCTACCATTTTTGTGCTAGCATTCTCAACTTTCTTTTCCATTTGAGTCTCCATTGTTCCGCAAACTCCAAGCAGCGCCTTAAACCTTAAACCCTAAATCACTAAAAGATTTGGCCTTGGATCACAGGAGTCAGACGCACAAGCTTGGCAGTCACAAATCAGTCTCCAGCCAGAAATCGGTGCTCTGGCAGCTATTCAGGAGATGGTTAAGGGATATACAGGGATATCTCGGGATATCTACGTTTTAGGGTTTAGGGTTGAGGGTTTAGGCTTTAGGGTTTTCTAAGGCTGGAATGTTTAGGGTTGAGGGTTCAGCGTTGAGGGTCTAGGGTTTGAGCGTTGAGAGTTTAGGGTTTAGGGTTGAGGGTGTAGGGTTCAGGAAGCCTGTCAGAACGCCAGTGTTCTGATAGACTGCATCAGATCACATCATCCCATTCACCTTGCAGTTGCTGAGTGTCAAGACTGAAACAGTTCTTGTGGCAAACCCTAAGCCCTGAATACCCAAGCCTCAGACCCTGAACCCTAAACCCTAAACCCTAAACCCTAAACCCCAAAACCCCAAAACCCAAAACCCTAGACCCCAAAGCCCCAAAACCTGAAAGCCTCAAAATCATGATGCTGAGATCTTGCCGGACATCCACAGCGGCTATAGCAAAGAGCCGGCTTCGCCGCTCGCGAGGGATCTCCGGGACCCCTTTGGTTTGGTAGCGCTTAGCGTTAAGGGTTAAGGGTTTAGGGTTTAGGGGTTTAGGGTTGTATTATGGTTTTGGGGAAAGCGACTAGGGTTTAGGATTGCATTGTGGTTCAGGGTTTAGGGTCTGGGGTTTAGGGTTGTAGGGTTTAGAGCTTAGGGTGCAGGGATATGTAGAGGTCGCATAGGGGTGATATAGGGAGATAGGATAGAAGGGTTCTATTGGGAGAACCAGGGGTGGATAAGAAAACGGAAGCCATCGTTTAGGGTCTAGGGTTTAGGGGCATTACCACGGAAATTCAAAAAACAAAGTGAGCAAGAACATGGAGAATGAAATGGAAGCTGGGAGTATGTAGTGGTTCATAGTGTGTAGGGTTGTTCAAAACTAGGATTGCCAGTACCTTTCTGGGGGGGTCCTTATAATAAGGATTGTATTTTTTGGTGTTGTATTGAAGCCCCAAATCCCAAACCTCTAACCCTAAGCCCTTTCTGTAATCAGCTTGGCCAATCTGGGGATGCAACTTGTGAGCAACAGGAAGTCAAATATAACCTTACGTATTCCCTACATTGGCCCTACATAACCCTGAATACCCCTAAGCCCTGAACTCTAAACACTAAACCTTAAATCCTCAACCTTAAACCCTAAGCCCTAGACCCTCAATATAATCCCATTGCAGACATCCGGAAGTTGAGTGACGGGAGGAGGACTCGCCAGAGCCGGATGACCCTGCAACTGCCATTACAAAGAAACATCCCCTCTTCGAGGGCACGACGCAGGAGCAGCTTGACTTGTAAGCAGGATTTAGGATTTAGAGTTGGATGCTTAGGGTTTAGGGTTTAAGAGGTTTAGGGTTTAAGGTCTAGGGTTCAGCGGGTTTTGGGTTTGGGGGTTGTGCACAGCTCACGTTTATGATTTAGGGTTCAGGTCTGGAACGTGCACATGGGTCCAGCTGACCTGTCTTTTGATCCTGCAGCCGATGTAATCCTGCGTAACCGGTCCAGAATCCTCAATAACCACTATATATCTTCATATCACAAACTGAAATATACCCGTATGTATTCCGTCAACCCTAAGCCCAACTAACAACCCTAAACCCTAATCCCTGCACATTTCTTCGGTCATCTCATAACTGAAGCCAACGTTTGTTTGGTCATTGTGGCCTGTCAAGAACGACCTGGACCTCGCAAATGGGGTTTAGGGTTTAGGGTAAGCATGACTTTGGAATGAAAAGCAACTATTAGGGATATTTGCGAGGTCTATATCCCTATTTGGGAGGTCTAGTTAGTTTCTTAAGCGAGGTTCCCAAACCCTAGATCCTAAATTCTCTGAAGCAAGGTTCCGAAACGAGATGGCGCTGAATATGAGGCTCTACCAAGTCAAGACAGTGAGCACGCAGCTTAGCCTGCCCCCCCCCACCTCCCAAAGAGTTGCCAAAAGGGATTACATAGGGGGATGGAAAAGAAAACACAAACTGCCGTAGAATGTTGGGGGTGGGGTTTACTGATGTCCCTCTGAATATTGATGTGTTTACCATTAGGGGACGGTTGGGGGGGCGAACCCAGACACCTGATTAATAAACCCACTCCCCTCAATGGGAGTTATAGTAGGGATCCTAATATTGAGGCCCTTAAAAGGAGGCGGTTGATTAGTCACTGGTCTACATTAATTCATTCTTAGGGGGAGGTGATTGCTGGAAAGCACACGCTCCAAGAGCCAATCGGTTCCAGTGGTGCGAATGTTACGGTGCAAGTCGGAGGTTGAAGTGGATACCTCTGAGCCGCGGGTAGATCAAGCCTGCGATGTGGATATGGCAGGTTCTTAGAATGGTGGTGTCTTTGTTTGGATCCTCATATCTCGGGTACCCCCCAAAAAGGGATCGCAATTTTGACGACCTACCTTATCCAAACTGCCCCAACCACAAGCCCTAAACCCTAAACCCTGAGCCCTAAACCCTATGAGGTCAGAGTGAAGTCAAGACGGAGTATGCGCGAGAGATGTTCGAAAGCAGCCTCATGAGACCAAGGCTAGCTGGCCGTACCGTACATGGGTTTAGGGTTTATATAGGGTTTAGGGGCCGTACCGTACATGAAGCTGATAGGAAGAAAGTCCTATTGTAGTTCCCCTTTATTGGGGCTAATATGGGATAATGGAAAGAACATGGAAACTACTATACTGGGGCTATATAGGTTTTAGGGTTTTGGGTTTAGGGTTTCGTGTTTAGTCCCCCTTAAGTAGATAGAATTTGCGGTATATGGGGATCTTAATATGATATACGCAAGGCCATATTCTGTCTACTTACGGGGGACTGTAACCCTAGAGGTTATACGGGGTTTAGGGTTTCGGGCTTGGGATGAAATTGATGATAGGACGACCCCCGGAAAGGGGTAGCTGACGGATGTATTAATTTAGGGTTTAGGGTTTAGGGGTAT